TAGTGTTTGCATTATTTAAGCAAATTAATTGCAACAGTTAACTACGAAATCTTTGTTACTTATTTAGTCTCATATTCCATCAAGTATTTTTCTTTTGATTAAATTTGCTCGCATTTAGAGTAACATTTCAGAATTTAAAGATTCGCGTTTCTCATGTGATCGAATAAAAATTTTTATTTTTGTAGCACACAGATATAGCCAATATCAACAATGTTATGACATCTCATAACTTATGTAATCGTTGCCACTTCTCTATTGTCACATTTAAGTAAGAAAATGTATACGATGCATTTATAAATTAAAATTCAAAATAAAAGAAAATTACAAAGCAGTCTATTGCTACTTGAAAAACATGTTATTTTTAAAAAAATATATGTAATATAATAAAAATGCATTCTTAGCAGATAATCGAGGAGTATTGTTAGATTTACACTTGATTTTTTATTTAGCATATTTTAAGAAGATTGTAAAATTATAAAACAAGCATTTAAATGTCATTATTTAAATAGACGATAAGTGTTTGATTAGAATAATAACAAACCAAGGTCTGTATCTCTTATCTTTGAAGTTTGCAAAATATTGATGTAATTATGTAAATCCTTATTTCTCGTAACACATATGTAGTATCCTTAATGGTCGTGGTAATAAATTTTATGCATTGCTTCTTACAGTCACCCGTTCATACAAACACTTTAATAGCAGTTTTACGTATTGCGTTGCATAACAAATAATGTGTACGTGCCAAAGAATGTTACGAGAAAATTATCCTTAACTTCAGATGCGTGTAAAGACTAAAAGAGTTTCCATATATTTAACTTGAACTTGAACTAATTGACTGATTGACTAGTTGGCAGAATTAAATTTTAACTCAATCTGTACACACCAACAAACATTAGAAACGTGGTTGAAAATAGGATTGCATTTTAAAAATTTTCCAATGTACATAAATAGAAGAATAAAGTACAATTATTTGCTTTTAACAAACACACGCACGTAATGAACTGCAAGTGAAGCACATGTAAGCAGTAACAATAAACGTTTTTTTCATGGATCAATTTTCAGAATTTTTCACAGATCAATTTGAAGAAAGAAAATTCTCCCATCGTTTCACAAGTTATCAAACTTTCTCGCTAAATACTGGCAAAAATCGACTTCAACTAATCCGGCTATTTCTGAATAAACGTCACATTTCCCAGCGTTAATGAATGAACACGAATTTTTGATTACATCTCGTGAGTATCGCTTAATTACGCACATTAGCTCTCTGAAACGTGTAATTGAACACGAGCAATAGGTGAGTAGTTCAAGTTCGACGAACGTCTGACAAATTTCTCACTTTTTCTACTTTCCTCCATAAATCTCGGAATACTGCATACGTCGTGCAAGACGATGTAGACGGCGAGTTTTCTTGTTCAGCGAACGAATTCTGAACAGAAAGAGAAACAGTGCACAACTTTTTGTTTCATCCTACTTCTGTTGGCTACACAGGTAACAACACTTGTGTGCGCGTGTGATACACGAACGGTGGTACCTCGTGATAGAACGTTGACCCTGCCCAGTCTCGCGGTTCAGAAATCCCTCCAAATAAAGGAAACAACGAAAATACAAAGACTCCTGTGTACTCTAAGTAAACGTAGGCCCACTGGTACGCAGTAATACGATTATTCCTCGTAAATGTACAATCACGGCAGTAGAAGCTTTCCAAATCGACATTAATCAACAGTATCAGTAAACGTGACTCGAAGGAAACGCAAATTATTTCGAGTTCAAATAAATCTAATTCCAGAGAGACAGACAGACGACGTAGGAAACACCCCGAACGAACGGAAAAAGATACGAATACGAAAATTCAAAGACTAACCTTTTTGGTAACAGTGAAAACGTTCATACCGAACGTGAAGAGGTTTCTTTCGTCGATTCCATAGGAGCATTGATCATTCTTCGAGATTCCTATGTTGCTTCCCTTGTTTTACTTTTGGCTCGGTACGAAGGGATCAGTATAAACGCGATAAGAAACCGGCAACTCACCAAGGCATACTGAAAATGTGCCAGAAGGATATGTATTGCGCGGAAAATTCGTCAGATCGAGCGAGCAAGAGAGAGAGAGAGAGAGAGAGAAAGAGAGAGAGAGAAAACGGCGCGGTGTGACTCACTCTGAAAGGGATAATATACGAGGAGTTCGAACTGTACAAGTCGCGATTACGTCGCCCACTGATAATTAAACTTCACAAGGCTCGATGTACGAGGCAAGACTTCTCTTGTACGAAGACCAGCATCGTCCGTATGTAAGCAGTCGAACGGTGAGAATGGCACTGAGGGGAGTTTGAGAATCGAGCGTGGCTAAATTTCCGGACACAGGGAGGCGCGGCGGTCAGGATCAGCCACAGGTTGCGCCCGTCTCGTTCACGCAGGCCGGGCATCTTGGCTGATCGCGAAACGGGGAGGACACCCTCTCTGCCGAAGCGACAGAAAGAGAAATCGATTAACTTAACATCCCAGTACTATACGTTCTTTCTCGACGTTCATGACTGGGAGGACTACGATTTCGATCGCTTTCGAACTAGATTTTATACATTCCTACTTTTTACAATTCCACTTTTCAATATTTTCGCGTAGCAACGTTTATTTATTTATTTTTATTAGACATGTGTATATGTTGCAACTTTTTGCAGTTGCACGTTATTTAGGATATTTTCAATATTTTTTTTTTCAGTCAACTCGATCAACTATGCAGTCTCTGATGTTTCAATTCATTTGATATGCAATTAGTACAAGTTTATAAGTATAGAAAAATAGGAGTTGTTTTCTCTATTAGACATAGAATAAATATGTCATAACGAGGGGAATAGATTCATTCACAATTTAGAAACATACTATACTTTTTCAAAGATAATATCATTAAAGGAGATAATATTGTCGGATACAGATAACGTTATTAAATATCAATTTCGAATACGTGCAATTAATGCAAGCTTATAAGCATAGAAAAATAGGTGCAGTTATCACTGTTATCGACGAAATGAACCAGGGAAATGGATTCACTCACAATTTAGAAACACAGGATCGAATGATCTAAGAAAGCTAATTATTCACTTTTGTGTTTAACAATATAATAAAATTGTACATCGTAATCGTATGTCTATAACAAAGAAGTAGTTTTCTACCATATTAAATGATTATGTTAATTTGCAAGAATCACGAAATTTTTGATGCAAGTACAGACAGTAGAAATAATGGCTGATTGATAAGTTATCTATAATTTGATAAAGAAATCAAGCAATTTCATTCTCAACGACCTCATAAGATTATATACTGTCTATACAATCGTGTTCAATATCACACCGTATTCTTACGAAAATGCAGGTAAGTAGTAAAATAACATTGAACGTTTATATTGTACAGTGAATATTTTGTTCTCTCATCTCATCAAATGAATTTACGTTAGATGTCGTTTCATGTTGGTGTAAACGAAATTATTTTGTTTAACGAATGGCGTGTAGTAAATGGGACAGGCGTTGGATGGTCGATGTTTGGTATTATTCTTTTAACATCTATATACGAAGGGATAAAAAGCTATCGGTGAGTAACTTGCTTGCGAAGAGAAATTGTTTATGAAAACTATTTTCGTCGGAATATATTTACCTACTTCTACTTTTGTCTTCAGTGATTACTTATACATTCATACAAAACATATACAGAAAACTAATGGAGCAAGATCTCGATGGTATGTATTTCCTTTTGTAGATACTATTGGTATTTATTGCACGTATAAAGTTTCGTTACTTATAAATCGTTTTAATTGTTGTAATAACAATGTTTATAAAATGGTAGACTTTTAAACAAGTAGTTTGATAAATAGAGGGGAAATCACGTTTCTTCTAAAATTGTGATATTTAGGAGGTATAAAATTATTTTAAACGGAGTCTGCTGCAGCCAATGTATTTTAAATACTATAGTGGGTATGGGCAACTCAAACCCGTGCGCTGGCAAGCCTCCCCATCTCGTGCAAGGGTTCGGTGATGGGGTAATCTATAAGCAGAAACCACACGTCCCATGGATGTACCAAGACCATTTAAATTTGGGGCGCTGTGGGGTCCGTACATGCAAATTTATATCGAAATCAAGCGTATTTAGGAGACATGTTAACATTCACTCACTCTCTGACTCTCTCACTCACTCAATCATTCACTCACTCTCTCACTCACTCACTCACTCACTTACTCACTCTTTCATTCATTCACTCATCCATTCACTCTCTCACTCACTCACTCTCTCACCCATTCACCCAGTCACCTATTCACCCACTCATTCACTCACTTACTCACTCACTTATTCACTCATTCACTCACCCACTCATTCACTCACTAACACTTTTTACTTTTGCAAGCTGAATATTATCGAAATGAGAAACTCAGATATATAGAATAAATTAGAGGTTTATTTAACAATACGTACATTTAAAAGAACACATAATTAATAGTTAGAGATCGGTACAACATATAGATCAATCGCAACCTATGTTATAATAATAACACAAAGTTACATAATAGACACAGCTGTACATACAAGGTATCCGGTAAGGAGTTCAACAAACTGCGCCAACGTGTTCAACAGGTCATTGTGAACAGAAAATGTCATATACCCTGTAGATCTATTTCTCTTCGTTGGTCAATTACATTCTTAGAGTGAAACAATAATTCCATCGTACTTACTTTATTCTACTTTTGATGTGCAGATTGTTTAATTTACAATATTAAATTTTGCCCGTACGGGCAGCGGTTGCCCATACATCTGTACTGTACACATTCATGAATCTTTGATCTGAAGTTTGTAGTTCTAATCAAATCTACTCAAATTATACGGTTTGTCAGCTGTAACCTTTAAACTGTTTACTATTCAACAATTTTTTTCTACCGTTTATATCGATGCCAATTTTATTGATTATTATTACAATTATTGAACTTAATTAAACTATTTCTTTATCATTAAAATATTGCCAATTCTCGTGTATATGTTTAAAAAATGACACTGACAATATGCAACTCAATACATGTGTTTCATTTCAGGTCTTTGCTCTTTTCCAAAATACATATCCTTCAGACAATTTTAAACGTCGCACAGCTGATTATAGGATATTGCCTTATGTTAATTTTTATGACATACAACGCTTGGCTCTGTATTGCCGTAGCACTCGGCGCTATGCTTGGCTATTGGTTGTTCGCTTGGGATAAGTTCAACGGTGACAATATCGAGTGCTGCTTGTAAATTCCATACGAAACGTTTCTCGTAATGATACATATTTGGCCATTTTGTTTAACCACCGTTGCTCCAATACCGTCGTGCTAATTCAACGTAGCACGGAGTGAGACGTAAATATTTTTGTATCACTTTCAAACATTGTATGTATTGCATAATTTAATTTACAAAATATTCAACGAAAACCACGCGTGTCGAGAAGAAAATAAAATTAACATATCTGCGAATTATAATTTTGTCTTACATTTCATTACTGACCCGGCTTTTAAATGTCTCTTGTTTGAACCGGCATTCGAAACAGAGTCACGACTCTTCTTTCCTTATATTACGAACACGTTTGTTACTTCAATCGCGATATGTTTGTACAATTTTCAACAATACAATGCCTAGTAACATAAAAAAATGTGATTTCGCTTGCGTTTAAAAGAGATTTCAGTATTGGGTCATATTTGACCCGGAATTCGGCTATCACGTCCACTTCCGGCCGAGGGTTAATCACACAATTCGTATTAAAAATTCGTTACTTATTGTATACCTACAATACACCATTAACTTATGTCTCATATTCATTTTTCCTTCGAACGCAACTTTACGCTGAATTTCTATGTACAACAGTATATTATTATTATTACTACCATTATCATTGTTATTATGATTGTGAAATATACCGTAATCGACTGAATACGAACGAACGTTATCTAATCAGACTTTTCCGTTCATAGTACATTTCAATCAATATTTCGATTATTCAGTGCTTGTGTAAGAGGAATTATTTACAGATTGCCAATAGAATATTTCGTACGATACGAAATAAGTGGAAAAAATAGCGACACAATAGTTAAGAATGAAGGCTGACAGTCAGAGTGCAGAAAGAATTTGCGATACGAATTCAGGACTTGTACATAGAAAAGAATTTAAAACAGTCACCGGAATAATATTCGGATGGGATAGATTTAACAGTATAACCATGTTCATTTTAATAATATTATTTTGTGTTTGGTGCGCATGCTTTTCTGTGCTCTACGATCCTAGCAAGTTGGACGATAATTCGCATCACCACATGAACATGACAGATGGAGGACATCATCACTGAAATGTAACGTTTCAAAAAATATGTAAGTATTCTGTGCAATGTAATATCCACAAATATATATATATATATATAACATTTGACAGATGTTGTAGAGTAATAATTATTAGTCATTCAAATGCATTGAAATAATGATGAAAAAATGTTGGAGTAACTTTGATTCCATACTTCAGTTTCGAAACAAGTGCAGTATTTCTAATTTAAATGTACACGAATACACAAGTAAGAAGTTACTGTAATAATCGGACTTGAATTTTATACGAGTTTATTGTATAATTTATTTGCGTATTGTATATTGTATTTTATTTTATATATTTTACTGTATATAATTCATAAACAAATTTATTGCATTTACATAATACATTTTTTGAACATTTGATGCATTTCACGATGAACATTTCTTGATGCATTTCTAATACATTTTTATGCATTCATTGGTTACATACATTTCTTATGTACACCGATATTTACACAAATTTACACGTTAAATTCATGTTTACTACAATGTCCATATTTTGTTAACACGATTATCACAAACTATCCTTGATTCCCTTAAATTTTATTATTTTATTTTTTATTTTTTTGCAGAAAAGTCGACTGAAAGATGATTATATCGCAGCATGTACATATTATTCGGTTTCGGACATGTTAAATGTTTTCGAACAGTTTAAAAAGGAAAAGGAATACCATATAAGAATTACAGAATTATTTTTACATTTTGAAATAATGAATAACCGACCGTGGAAATTCTTTGGCATTATAAGGAAAAATTCCGAGTATACATATATTATAAAATTTGTACTACATAAATAATTATATTTGAAATTATAAAATGTATATATATTTTTCTTTCTTTCGTGTTTTACAGTCTATTTACTATTTTATATGCGTTAACTTTAGAATATACGAGAAATACAATAGCGTAGAAATTAGGGCTTTTATTGCTTCTCGGATTTACGGATATCCGAATCTCGAGTACTCGGATAGACACTCAGTTTAGAACCGAGTATCTGGGTATCTACTCGCGTGATTTGAATTCAGATATCCGGACACATCCGTATTACCCTCGCGTTGCATATTAAATCGAATACTAAATACCACTGTCGAACAATTTTTCCATTCTTCAATCTCAATCCTTTACCCAAACCTACTTTCTTCAACCCAACAACAAGTTCATCCAAGAAAAGCTTCATATTTGAGTAATTAAGAAAGAAAATTTGAATCGAATTTCGACACCACGTTCAGATTACAATGAACATTTCGAGTACTCGGATATCCAGAGATAGCAAGAGATCTAGCAGAAATTTTATTCCGTTCTTGTTATTAATGCCCGTGGTTGTGGCGATGAACTTTCGAGCTTTGTGGATGCTTGCACCATGTTGTGCCGTCTAGATACTGGTTCGAAGGACCACCCAAATGATTGAGACTTGTAAAAACTGATCTATGGTATCGCGTGATGTGAGCTGGTTGCTCCTTGGGTCTCCTTGTTCGTGATGGTTGAACGACTATTAGACGACTCAACTCTTCGACGTCGCGTCTCGGACGTCCGTGAGAGGGATTTTCGTTGGGACACGCTGATTGATTAATGGTTAACGATTGCATTTGCCAATCAGCGTGTCTAATATCGTCTTTACCGCCCTTCCAGTGCGCCCTTAGCGCGCTGTCACCTTGGAAGGGTGGGAGACGGTCGCGAGGGGTGGGTGGAAGGTCCCAAAAATCTGGAATTTCCTCCGGGTGACTAATCGGCAAGCGGACCGTTACATACAGATGTGCCGTTCGGAAATTCGTGGTTTATGGTATGTTCGTAGGCTATTGAGCGCGACAAATTACTAAAAATCTAGCAAAGCAATTCTAGTGACCCTCGCAGGATGTAATTAGACCCGTGCGAGCAATAAACGAAAATCCTCAACTCAAAAATAACCGTTCCCGGTCGATCGTTTCTACAGAAAACCTAACCCTCGTTAAAAGCTAATGTCCTAATATATAATTGTTTCGCTTCTGGAAGAAGAAAGATCGTACCTCAGAATCTGACATAAAAATATTCTGTCTTCGACAAACAATATACACTCGTGTAACAAGAGTATATATAAAGGTGTCGGAGATTGGACGACGCGACGTCCTCGTTAAAATTCTTAACGAGCCGATTTAACCGTTCTTTCAATGAAGAGCTACATTCTCCGCTATATATACTCGAGCGGAGACCATTCCACTAAAACGGGGTTCCTTCGTTATGCACAAAAGAAATCACAAATAATAGCCCACATCTATCTCTCATTTGTTTACATTTATTTACAATCTAAATAGGATGCATGTAGAGGGTAAGGAACTATGAAGTCATTATACACCGAGGGGCTGTAAATCGTGGAACAAGTCGGCCGAGAGAGATTGTACGGCTCGAAATAAGTTGAAATGATAGAATAACATTTTATGGTACGAAGGTACATTCTTTCAGAGAAAAAGGTACACGCTTGCACCTGACGTTTATTTATTAAACATTTGTTTATTAGACAAAGAAATAAGTACAACGTAAACTTTGATGACATACGAAAACCTTGAACACTTTGAACTCCAAATTTTGTTTGAATTTTCTTTTCGATAACTCCCTATTATTTTAAGAATTTTATTTGAAATGCACTTCAAAAGACATTTGATAGGAACCAATTGAAACAATTTCTTTTACTAATTATATTGAAAATAGCATTAAGGGTCATATATAAGGTGTACCTATTGCTGGTCCAGGTAAAAACAATATTGCAAAATATAATACATATTTAAACTGGCAATTTAGAAATTACTTCATTCATACCTGTGAATAAAACTGACGTCGAGTCACACTCGAGAAAGGAGTCCAAAGGGTTAATATTCATATTACTTTTCATATTCATATCATCGACTTTTAAATTTCCTATATACACACGAACACAGTGTACACGGTAAATTGGAACCTGTAAATTTTGGCTCCTGAGCGAACCTGCGACCTCGCTATACATATTTCTTCCACGGACTGTACCATGAATTTCAAGGAAACTCGTAAACCAAATGACAGGTGAAACTGCAAAGTGATTTTCATCGTTGAACGTAGGAAACGGTTTATATGAAAAACAAGATCGTATAATTGAAGTCCTCGATGACAGAATGATGTAAAAATAACGTAATTGGATATGCATCAGCCAGAAAATGGCCTGACTGTAAACTTACGTTATCGATTAATTTAGATTAATTGCTCGATGTAAGATTTGAAATTGGTATAAAAGAACGTCACGAAAAACACTTTCGTCGATTGATTCTATATTGATGTTTTATCATGTTCAAGATAAATGCGACGTGCTCATTTTGGTTCTTGTGCTGTTGTTCGAAGACAAAGTCGGCAAGAGATCAACAGTTATCGTACATTCCTTTCGTTTCAGTCCTATTCATTCACATTTTTCCTCAGACACACCCTCTCAACTTCACCCCATCCACCTGCCTTGGGCGGCCTTTGTGCATTAAGCCTTTTGAACACGATATTCCATAGAGATTGCAGCTCAATACACACACACACACGTACAGGATATTCCACCAGCTCTGTCCACCTCAAATATTTCCATTATTTCAAGTAATAAAGAAAAATAGAAAATATACAAAATTTGCGTAATTGCAATAGTTTCTTTACAGATTGGAGGGGTAGAGGAGATCTATAGGTGAATTATGTCTTTTTTAAATGGAATTCAATCATTTTTCATAGTCAAATTCGATGGAATAGCGAATTCTGAGCGTAAAAGTACTAAGGTATATTTATCCTAAAACTCACCGTTCCAGAGATATTTTACCCATCCTATTATTTTCATTATGAAACATGTTCGAAGCTGTGTTCAGTATTTCAGATATAGGCAAACAGTAGATAGTAAACATCGTGAAATGGCGTTGTTAAACTTCTGGTATCTCTCGGTATTGATAAGTTTCTTATTTAACTATCTTAAGATTGTCAAAATATGAAATTTTCTTTCGAAAAAGAAATCGATAGGATACTTATTTACGGAGAAAGTAGGGAAAATTCAATTAGGGTAGAAGCTTTGTGCGCTGAAAGATATCTGATGGACAAATGAAAGATCAATAA